AATAAAATCAATAAAGATTAAGAGGACAATAAATTTCCAAATCATATATATGATAATGGTATTCTATCACTAAGGACTTACAGAAGAGTAACAGAAACCACCTCCTTCCTTCAAATACCTAAGTTCCATGACCTCCACAATGTTATTATCTCAGTCAATTGCCTAGAAACATTCAAAGCCCAGTTAGTGACAGAAGTAAGGTTTCAATCCAAGGTTCCTAAATCAGGGACAAGTTCCATAGACTGGTGGTTCCCAACACTTGCTGCAGTTTAGAATCCTCTACAGAGTTAAAAAGAACAGATTCCTGGCCCTCCATCCACACTGATTAAATCAGACTTAAGAAATGCTGCTGAAGATTACAATTTGTTTTAAAAATTCCCAGTGGATACTAATTTTCAGCCAGGGCTGAGAACCACTGGCCTAGACTGGTTGAAAATCTTATATATCTTGACAATTATCATAAAAGGCAATCTTTTAAGATCAACTTAAGCTATACAGAATGGATGAAACTTATCCTCTAATTTACTGACTTGGGCCTATATGCCAACAATTAGTCTTGAATTTACAAAGCTGCTATCTTCTCTTCTGGGATGGGGCATTATTAAGAAACTCATGACAGTAATTCACTTACACTCCTCTTTACTTGGTGAAGTTACATTCAGTTCTGTCGGAAGCGGCTGCTGGCTGGGACTAAGAGTTGGCGTGGTTATAGAGGTATTGTTGTTGTCACTGGTGGTCTCTTCAGAAAACAAATCTGATTGGCTGTTACTTGTACTTGGAGTGGAATCATCGTCTGGTTGTTTCTTTTGAAAATCTGGAAAAAAAAGGTAAGAAAACCAATTTAATTAAGGCATTCATAATCTCCTTGGGTATCAGAACAAAATGAAAGTTAGCAGAAAGATAAATGTGATAGCAGCAATAATAAAGACTAATTTGGATGATTAAAAAAATGAAAGTGCCCTGACCAGTGTGGTTCATGTAAACTGGCTGGAGTGTCATCTTGTACACCAAGTGATGGTGGGTTTGATTCCTGGTCAGGGCACTTACTGGGGTTGCAGGTTTGATCTCCAATGGGGGTGCATGCGAAAGGCAACCAATGTCTCTCCCCGTCCCCCCCTTTCTCTCTCCACCCCACCCATTCCTCTCTCTAAAGTCAAATTAAAAAATGGAAGTAAAATACTGGTCAAAAACATTTAAAATTGATAGAGGATAACTACAATGAAAGCTTTCTAAGGTCCTCACATTGTTTAGAAGAATGCTGATTTTAATGTAAGACTTTGCAAAGCAAAATGCATATTAAAATTTTAGGGATAATTAATAGAAAGAAAAAGAAATATAGAAAAGTTGCTCAAACAAACAGAAGACAGATAAAAAGAGAAAAAAACTGCAGAAAACAAAGCAGGGTAAATAGAAAACACATAATAAAATAGTAGAAATAAGTACAGACATACTAGTAATGGTAATAAATGTAGACAGACTAAACTTAGCAGTCAAAAGAAAGTTCAGACTGAATAAACAAAGTCTTGTTCCTTGCAGTTTACAAGAGACATACTAAAAACATAAATATGAGGATATAGAAAATTTAAGTCTATAAAAATATACCCACAAATACACAATTAAAAAGCCAGTAATAGCTCGAATATTGCCAGAAAACAGACTTTAAGGCAAAAAGCATTATTAGAGATAAAGAGGATCATCATATAATAGTAACAAAAGAATTTTTTACCAGGAAAATAAAAACAATTCTGAAACTGTATGTACCTAATAACAAAGCCTCAAGAGCGAAAATGATTGTATTTACAGAAAACTGGCAAATTTACTAACATAATAGAAAAATTTTAATATACTTGTCTCAGACAGAATAACTAGTAAAATTCATTAAGATTAATAAGCATAGCCGAGGCCGGTTTGGCTCAGTGGATAGAGCGTCGGCCTGCGGACAGGAGGGTGCCGGGTTCGATTCCGGTCAAGGGCATGTGCCTGGGTTGCGGGCACATCCCCAGTGGGAGATGTGCAGGAGGCAGCTGATCGATGTTTCTCTCTCATCGACATTTCTGGCTCTCTATCTGTCTCCCTTCCTCTCTGTGAAAAATCAATAAAATATATTTTTTAAAAAAGATTAATAAGCATATAGAGACTAAGGATAAAGTAGGTTTATAGTTGTTTATATGAAAAATATAATAATGAATAATATAAGAATCAACTGTTTTGCATACAACTGCAAATCTACTTTTGCCCTGTATAGGCTCATGCACCCTACAATTAGATAATGAATTTTTAAAAAACACATGAAGAATATTTATAAAAACTAACTAAAACCTGGCTAAACATGATCATACATATTAGGCCATAAAGCAAAAGTTTCAACAGATGCCAAAGAGTTAGTATGATACAGACATGATTAGCTAGCTGATCACAGAACCAATTAAGTTAAAAATCATAATAAAATTCTATATGAAAAAATTTAAAAATACATTTTAAGCTCATGGTTTAAATCAGAAATTAAACAGTACTTATAATAAAATGATAATAAAATTACTACTTATCAATATCCAGTAACGATAAAGATGCACATACATTACCTGTACCACAATCATTTCATTCCTAAATATATCCCTGAGAGAAACTCCACACACACGTACATCTTAATTTTATATTGTCCATAACAGTAAAAAGTCAGATATAACCTGAAGGTCTATATATTGCAATGTAATGAGATAATAGAATAATGTACATAGTGAGAAAAAGTAACTATTGCCAAATTCATCAACATGAATCTCGAAATCATAACATTGACCAAAAAAATGCAAGGCACTAAATAATATAGTAAGATTGTACTTACATACATCTTAAAAAATAGGGAAAACTCAATATATTGTTTAGGAATATGTATGTTTAACCACTAAAAAATATTAACACAATTCAGGATAGTGGTTACCTCTTAGGTTGAGGAAGGGAGATATGAAGATGAGAGGTTACAAAAATATTCAAAATTATAGGAATTCCACTGACAGAGAATGGATTAAAATGATATATTCAAGCATATAATGGAATGTTCTATGACAGTTAAAATAAGTGAATAAAGCTACAAATATAACAGAAAAATCTAAAAAAAACAATTCAGAGAGAAAAGCAACCCACAGAAGAATATATAGTATAATAATATTTATATAATAAATTTAAATATGTGAAATACCATTTATTATTTATGAACACATAATTAAAATACAAAAACACACATGGAAATGACACACCAAATTCAAGATAGTCGTTATTGGGGGAGGGAAAAGGAGATTTCAAATCTAGCTGTACTTTTTTATTTCTTAAAGCTGATGATAGGTTAAAATTATTATGTATGTTATGTATATGTTTCATTTTAAAAATCTACCTGGGGGCGGGTGTGGGGTGGAGGGGGTCAATGGGCAAAAAAGGAACATTTGTAATATTTTCGACAATAAAGATAAATTTTTAAAAATCTGATGCTAGACTATGAAGTACAGATTATATTTTACTATGTCAATTCAGAGAAGGATAGAAGATCCTGGCAACTCCACATTGCTTTATCATTTGAACCACAGAGAAGCTGCTATTATGCTGTATAACCTTATCAGAACCACTGTTTTGAGATATATGTTACCATGAGGCTAGGCACTAAGTGAAATGTTTTAGGTATATAATACATTTACTTTAATCCTAGAGACGAGGCTAACAAGGGAGGTATAGTTAACACCACTTTACTGATGAAGAAATTGAGGCTCAGAAAGTTTAGGTCATTTGTTCCAAGTTACAAGTTAGTAAATAGTAGGATCAGGATTTAAATGTAGCTCCATCTGACACCAAAACACATGGTATTCAATCACAGGATGTAGGAATGGTGAACACTAGACTGGCCAGGAAAAGGCTCCACATCAAGACCCTACCCAGTTATAGCAGCAAAGATGAGTGCAATGGAAAAATCACTACCCTGCTGTGCCCATCACTGTTCTCAAGTCTTACTGCTTCTTTTCTATGTATGTATTTCTTTTAGCCAGTCTTATTCTTTAGTGTTTTGACATTTTTAAATGTCTTATTATCTCAATGTTATTTATACAACACTTTGGAGGGAAGATACTATATAAATGAAGTAAAAATACTGCAATAATGATGCTTTTTTAATGTCATGTCATCTTATTAGTTCTGCTATGTCAATAATCACTGTGTCCCTCCAATAACTACCTCTCTACCATTTAACTGGAAATGCTATAAGGCCCTAAAAGAACTGAAACTGAGTAATCATTGTACCGTCTAGCACAAGCCCCAGTCCTCTATGATGTTAATGATGTTTTTATTTAAAGACACTGTTACTGGCCCCACCCACATAATCTCCAGTCCAGTCCATGCGTGCCATGCTCCTGGATGCTAGGGTGCTTTTCTTTAAGTTTTCTTTTGTAAATCTGCAGTTGACACAATATACCTTCTATTTTTAGTTGTTATTGTTGCTAATGCTTACCCGAGGATATCTGTTTCCACTGATTTTTACAGAGTGGGAAGGAGGCAGGGAGGGAGGAAAGAGAGCGAGAGCGAGAGACAGAGAGAGACATTGATGTGAGAAAGACACATTGATTGGCTGCCTCCTGCACATGCCCCAACCTGGGCTGGGGATCGAACCTGCAATCTGGGTATTGCCCCTGACTGGGAATGGAACTCAGGATCCTTTGGTGCATGGGCTGATGCTCTAACCACTGACCAGGGCACACTGTACCTACTTTTAACCCATCCTCCTGCTTTTCTGCACCCCCACGGGGCAATGGTGTGAAAAAATCATCAAGCAAAAAGTCTTCATTACAAACCAAACTGGCTGCACACAAGAGAACTAGTATAAACTCTATACATTCTCTACTTCAATTCAATAAAGAACCTAAGAATCATAAATTTTTACAAGGAGAACTTTAAATATCCATCTCAATCCTCTCCCTACATAGAGTGAAAGAAAGTTAATGCCAACTCACCAGAAATCCAGAATTAAGCCTCAGAGTTTTCTAACTCTTAAGCTAAATTAGCAGCCTGTACAATAGAAGAGCTTTAGAGTTTAATCTGGATTCAAATCCTGACCACTATTTACTGGGCATATGGCTAAAAGCAAATTGTTTAATCTTTTGGGGTCTTGTATGTAAAATGAAGGAAGAGAGAGTTAATTCTACCTCTCAGAATAATATCAACTAAATAAGATAATGTACTTATGTAATGTATCTAGCACATGAATACTCAACAAATATCATTAAAAATAAAAAGTATTTTAAAATAAAAAATAAAAGGTATTTTCCTAGTTTAAAGAAAGGGCATGGAGTTATCTCTTCCATTTAGCCCTGATGTTTACATTACATTGCAGTTCTTACTCTCTTGTTCCTTTTCTTTCTGAATCAGTCAGCATCCAACTTCTGACATAAAGTTCCCAGAAGTCTAGAATAGCAGATTTACACTGAGTGGCCAGATTATTATGACCACCTGACGTTTGTAGGCAAATTAGCTATAATTTCATGCAGAAGTTGCTAGAGGGCCAGACCATTATAAATAGGGAAGCAGGTTGTTTCCCACGACAGAAGTGATTTTTTTCTGAAGATATGGGTAAACAACATGATTTAATAGCCTTTGAACATGGGATTTATTTGAACGTGAGTGAACGTGGGATATATTTGAACATCAGTGGCCAGATTATGATGACCACCCCCTCAGTACTTCGTTGGGCCACCTTTTGCCTTCAATGCTGCGGCGATTCTTCTTGGCATTGACTCCACGAGATGTTAAAGGTGATGCGAGGAATCTGACACCATGCCT